ATCTGAAAAATATTTGAATAGTCATGAATCAAGAAGGGTGCTCAAGCAAAAATAAGAAAATATTCAACCGCATTCCAGCTGGATCACTTGCATCTTTTCGAAATCAAAGGGTTTCGTCGTTGACAACAAAAAGAACCTTCCAAGCTACACGTTCTAATACAAATGAAGAACGACAATCAGAAGGTGGATTACCCTCATCTTTGCGAAACCAAAAGGTTTCGTCGTTGACAACAAAAACATTCTTGAAATCTATAAGGTCAAATGCAAATGAAGAACGACAATCCGAAGGTGGATCTCAATTGCAAGAACAAGTGCAGCAAGTGCCACAGAATTGCACCTCTTCAGCAACACAAGGAGTACATGAACAAGTGCAACAAGCGAATATGGATTGCATCACTCCTGCATCACAGGGAGTACATGAAAGATCTGATGATTCTACCAATCATGAAGCAATTGAACAATTTGAGGAATAAGGCAAATATATATAAATTTTAATCATAAACTTAACTAAATATAGTGATTAATGATTATCTTTGTTTTGTACTATTGCAGGCCCCTCCTCGCCAAAAAGAAAAAGAGGTCGTACTCAAATGCCAAGTGTTCATGTTAGAAAAGAGCGTAAAATAATCACTCTAAATGAGTTTAATCAACCCATTGGTCCTACTAAAGAGGTTGTAAAAGAGTTGGGTAGCTTCCTCGGCACATTGGCAAGGAGTGGGACTTTTGTCCTCTTAATGTAGTTAATTGGAGGAAACTAGACACAAAAGATGATATGTGGAAATATATCAATGTATGAAGTTTCCAATGTCCAATAAACATGGATGATATTTCTTATTTCTTGCACTAACCCAATTGCACTAAATTTGTAGGAAAAATATGACATTCCTGACGAGGCAAAAAATGGACTTTTGAATCAGTTTGTAGTGCTTGGAGAAAGTATAAGAGTCAATTAAGACAACCCACTTCACAGCCTATGAGAATGATGAGCTTCGAATGGAGAATAGACCAGTAGATGTTCCAGAATCTCACTTTAAGGATCTTTTTAACTATTGGAACTCCGATCCTCACAAGGTAATTACATCCAGAATCTCTTGTCTAGTCTTCGGTGAGTCAGTCACACTTAGGAACTGTTCTGACTTCTTGCCATAGCTTTTTAAGTCCCAGTTCAGTCAGTTACATTGTCACCCACCCCTTGGTAATAGTTGCCCTGTCTTACTGGTATCATTTTATAGTCCAACCATTTCAATTTGAGGCATTACAAGCAGCTAGCTTATATATTATATAGAAAAATGAACAAGCAATCATCATACTTGGAAACTCAACTTCAGATTTCAGTCAAGTTAATTAATTTAAATTTTGTAAATATATATAAAGTGTAGAAACAAAGAGGAAAGAAACTATTTTGTTAGAGAGTGGATAGGAAATATATTGGTCAAACTAGAACCAATAAGGGCCACAACAAAATTCTAATCATTCTTGTGGAAAACTCTATACTCTTTTAATAATATAATAACCACCATGGAAATAAGGAACCAGTGACTTATTTTAAAACTTGTAAAACCACAATCCTGTTTGGTTTTCCAATAAGATCCTATAAAGTCCATAGTGAGTAAAATCCATGTACAGAAAATTTTATCTTCTGTTGTTTGTATCTCACTTGTAGAGGCACAAGTTAATCTTCTTGCTGAAATAAAGTATAATCTGATGTTGCTTCGCTCTTGTGCACCTGCACGGAAAATGATCCCAGTTTACGAGATACACATGTCCCTTCAATCTCAAAATGCATATCTGTGCACATATATCTATAGGAAATCATCGAAAAATGCTACTCAACAGTATAAACTTGTGATATTCTTTTCTGCATTGTGATATTCTATATAATATATAAGCTAGCTGCTTTTAAGAGGATGCTGCAGTATGCATTCTCTTTTAGTATCTGTTATCCTGCAAATATTAGTATTTGTCACATAGTTATATAGCATCACAGTTGTCATATCTTTTCACATGTTTCAGTATCTAATGTGCAAGACTAATATGTCTATATAGTCCAATGTTTAATCAACAAGTGTAATGTTCTATAATTGGCTAACTAATCTCCCCTTAACATTCATCTAAGTGCATGGTATTGGGATGAATATATCTAAGCTCTTCAGATGTATTCACTTCAACAGCTACTACCAAGTCCTTTAATCAAAGAAGTTATAGAGATGAATTTGCAACTACCTGACTTTCAACCTTTTTTTCTAGAGCAGTGATAGTACTTAATCAAGCAAGCTTTAATACTATGAGTGTAGTCTTGGGTCATGATGTGGGTAATAGGCATAACTGTTGGTTACTATTTGGTTGACTCGTTTATTTGTAGAAAATGTCCGAAACCAATACATAGAATCGAAATAAGTTGAAGTGTCCACACACAGCTGGCAGAACACCTTTTGGTCTAATTCGCGAGGTTTGATGGTTTATCTTTCTTATTTTTTTACAATTATGAACTTGCTAACTTTATATGGAAAGATTCTTATACTTGTGTTCATGTAACTAGGAAAAAAAGAAGGAAATCTCTGATACTTCAGATACTGTATCAAGTAAGGACATGTTTGTGGCTACAAGAAAAAGAAAACTTGGCCGAGTATACAAAAGCTCATATGACAATACGATTAGTAAAATTGTACGAAATTTCTAATTTAGAGTTTGTCGTGCTTATTTATTTGTTCTTAATTATTGATTCAACTTTAGTTACTTAAAACTCTTTTTTCTTGCATTTGGTTTGTAGGCTGAAATAGAGAGAATACAATCTACTCAGGAAAGTGAAGATGTCAGTCATTCAATTGATGCTTTTGCATCAGTCATGGGACCTGAACATCCAAGGTCGCGTGAGATTGTATGGACGAGGGGTTACCAAGACTGTGTTAAAAGGGCAAAAAGGGAATCTTGGATCTTCTGATGAGAGGATGCAACAAAAAATGGAGGAAATGGAAGAGAGGATGCAACAAAGAATGCATGAAAAGTTGAACGAATAAAAGGATGCTATGGAACAAAATATTACAATGAACATCATCGCACAACTTCAGCATCTGAACCCAGATTTGCGACTTGATCCTGACATGTTAAGGTTCAGTGATCGTTCACCTGTAGATGCTTCCTCTGCACAACAAGCTGCTATTCAACTAAACAGTCGACCATCTGTTGGTAGTAACAATCAAGGTCAGTACGTACCAAATATTATAACAATAAACTTCGTTTGAATTTAAAAGGTAGAGATGCAACGTCTGTGTGTTGGAATTTTTTGCTTCTTTTGTTTAAGATCTTCTTGATGTACTTTGCCAATATCTTTAGCAATTCTAATAAGTTGTGCCTACCCTAATAGTTGTGCCTATCTCATCACAATAATCTGATTGTTTAACTAAAGAACCTTAGATCGTAGTCATACTTTGTCTATATTGATTCTGTCTAGTTAAAAAATGGTTTGTATGTCATCATGATAATTTAATGAAGGTATGGGTACATCTTAACCTAGGGTGCCACAGTAGTCCTGCTAAATGATGATCTGCATTCATCTATCTGTTTAGTTTTGACCATTTATGTTTTTGGATCTTTTATGATCATGTGATATCTAAGACACTATTTGAGAAGACTTCTTTTGTCAATATGGGTAACTGTTCACTTTGGTAACCTAATAGCTTGGTGGAATGATGTTGAACACGTACTATGCCGGTAGGATCCAAAATGGAAAGTTTGTTGGTAACCTGTTTATTGACATCACTATGTATAGAAGAACTTAATCATGAACTGGAGGGATATTTGGATCTTACAATTTGAAAAAACTGTTAGACTATACATTGTCACAATAAGATATCATGCTCGTTAGGTCCAAACAAAATTAAAACTAACTTTCCTACTTGCATTGATCTCTCTGCTGGTTTAGCGGATTGATATTTTGGGAAGCCTGGACACGGCTATTAATATAAGTGTTGAGTGAAGTAGGGGTCTCAGCTATATATATATATATATATAATATATATATATATATATATATGCTTGCTCTAGATTGTTCTGAAGATTATTGAAATGCATGCTGACCTGTCCTAAGTGACATGAACATATTCAAGGATCCTGAAATGATGAACCTTCAATAGAATTAATAAAGTCAGTGTACATATCCTTCTTTGTCACTTACTGATGCTTAGATCACATAATAAGACATCTCTGAACTTGAAGTGGTTAAAGATAACACCTATCTACTGGTAATATGCAACTTATACAGTAAAATATACTGATAATATGCAACTTACTGATGCTTAGGGCCAAATTTCAGAAATGTCATTGTTTTAAAATGTTTTGTTTAGTTTCTCTACAAAACTGTTAGATTAGTTGGTTCACTTGCTAAGACATTTCCAGCGAGAGAAACACGTGTAATTGGTCCTTTAGTCGAGAAACTTAGTAATAGGAACCTAGACATGGCAGCAGAAGCTGCTGCCTCACTCGGGAAGTTTACTTGTCCTTAGAATTTCTTGGGTATGGAGCACTCAAAAACAATTATCGAATTCAGAGGTGTTCCTCCTGTGATGAGACTGTTGATAGGAAATGAACAATCAAAATTGAATGGATTGATTCTCCTCTGCTACCTAGTATCACATGTTGGTAACAGTGAGGCTCTGGAACAAGCACGAGTATTCACTGCTCTCGAGGGAGTAGATCGCTCGTTAATTGCTGCACATCCTGAGTTAAAGGAATTGGTGCCAGAGGCAATGTATCACCTAAATGTTTATCACTCTGGTGTACTTACTGAGAGGCAATATAATGGTCATTGATCAGCTGAAAGAACGATTTAAATAGTTGATGTTTCGTGTTGGTTTTGTAATTATGTTTGTGATTCTTCTTATGAATTATTCTTTACTTTGCCATCATAGCTTGATAGTTTGAAAGTCTTGGTCTTTGGTAATAATATCAGATTGTTATAATGTTGCGTATAGTTTGTTGAGATGAATAAGTTGGATTAATAAAAGAACGAAAACAGTTAAATGCTTGAGTATTCTTAGACTGGATTCTGTTGAAGGGTAATAACTTTATTTATCCTCTTTTGTAGGTGGAGTAGATCAAGAAATGAATGATGAAGACGATGAAGAACTAGACCTTACTTGAAATGAATTTTGTATTTTTATAGATGAATTTTCTAGGAATCTTTTGTTACCAACATTTTTGAAACTTATTTACTCTTATGAAATGTACTAAACTTATGCACTCATGGGGTAGAACATTTGCTTTATGGATAATTTTATATTATTAATAGTTTCATTTTATGATGTATTTAAATTTTAGTGTTATTATAATTTATTATATGTATAAATATTTATTTATAACAGGTGCTATATTTGGTTTTAACTGATACAATAGCCTATCAGAACCATTGCAATAGGACACAAATGGCATTCCAGTAGACAATGTATATCGTTGCAATAGGTCCCATAAACTATTTCAAATACAAATATAACTGTTACCATAGCCTAAAGAAACCGTGGCTATATCCAACATAATCGTAGCAATAGTTTACATAAGTGTTGCTTTAAATAATATGGTAACGGTTAAAAACCGTTGTATAAACAATACAGTAACGGTTTTGAACCGTTCCAATTGAAAAAAATAACCGTTCCAACAGAGAAAGGGAAAACTGTTGCGATAGACTTATCTATTTTCACTGCGATGCAAACCATTTCAAGAACCGTTCCAGTAGACTTATGGGTACGCCGGCTGATGTGACGGTCTTTAAACCGTTCCAATATCCCTATGGCTACGGTTTTGCAGTCTGTTGGAACGGTTTTCCAACCGTTACTGTAGACCAATTTTTCAGTAGATATTAGGGAAGAATCCATCCTCCCTTCTTATCTATGAGATATAAAATAAATTATAAAATGTTGGATAATTAATTTTACCGTAAGGCAACATAATTGAGATTTAGTTCAGCCGATGTCTGAGTTGCTTCATAGTTTAAAACATTATCCCCACAAAAATGTATGTCATCAGTTCCTCTATTCTTGTGTAAAATTATGATTGATTAACTCTCTTCCAACATTATTGGAGTTGCTTTAATATTGATCGAATCGTACTGCATTTATGTGACAATGAGAGTCATTTTAAAAGTATTCGACTCCAAACTATATACATCACACATCTTGATTCTCAAAACTAAAATGCTAATTGAGCAAGAGATATAGATTTATTTTTAAATTAATTCAAAATATCAATTTACTCACATTATCTTTATACCTCCTCTTTCTATATTATTCCCTCTACTATGAAATTTTATATAATTATTTCATTTATATGGAAGTTTGACATTAAATTTTCATTAAAATTAACTATATAAGAATTTAAATTATATTTAAATATTTTTAATTTATTTCTTGGAATTATGTCAAATGTCTATATTTTTTAGTTTTATCTATTATAACGGTTTTAAATACGTGTATCTTATTCATATAATATGACTTATCTCATTATTATTTTAGAAACGTTCTCTTCTTAAAGATCAAATAAATCTTATCATTCTATATATATTTGCTACTGGAATTATTACTTATTTACATATTTTTCTTCTTTTTTGATTCCTTGTTCATGTTATTGCATTACCCATAACTTAGAGTTATTGATATCATTTCCCACAACTCCCGTTAGTACATGAATTTAGTTTTTCTTTTTTCTTGTAAAAAAATTATATTCATTATTTTTTATTCTACTGCTGAAACTAATATTTAAATTTATCAATAATATTTTTGAGTATCATTTATTTATTATCTTTATTTTATATTTTAGCTGAATGGAGTAGTGGTACTCGTAGTATGTGTTGATAATAGCTCCATATTTATCTTTATAAAGAGTTAAGATAAGGGTGTTATTTTTATCTTTCAGCTCAATATTTTCTTATGATCAAAAAATTACTTCCTCCGTTTCAATTTATGTGAACCCATTTGACTGGGTACGGAGTTTAAGAAAATAGAGAAAACTTTTAAACTTGTGGTGTAAAATGAGGCACATATATTTTGTGTGGCTATAAATCATTGCATAAAGGTAAATTATTTCCAAATAAGGAAATGAGTCATTCTTTTTGGCACGGACCAAAATGGAAATAGGTTCACATAAATTGAAACGAAGGGAGTATTAGTTAAGAAAGAGTAGTTGGTTATATCGTTATAAGACTATTATTCTTTCTTTCCTTTCAGATTCAAAATAATCTTATTTACTACCTTTCAATTTAAATTAAAAAATTATCTTTTAATTTTAAATTAAATTAAATATTATTATAAACATTATCCTAAATTGTCTTTCAGTTCAATTTTTTTGTGGTCAAAACTTTAATTCATATATTCACTCTTTTGTTATCGCTATTAATATAATATAAATCTTAATTTTATATTTTCTATATTTAAATTTATTGAATTAACGTCTTAGGGCACAGGGAGAAGCGAACGTTATTATCAACTAAGGTAGTTACGAAAGTTAAGTTTTGATCCAACAACTCGGTATTATGATTATAGGTTCAAACCTAGATTTTTTAAAACTCTTTCTTATTATTTAGAACAATTTGCTCATTGAGCCTCTCATTTGAATTGGAATATTTATATATTGATTAGCTTTCCTAATTAATTAAACAATCAATTCAAAATTAACTTTCTTTCCATTTGGATTTAAAAGAATCTTATTTACTATCTTTGTATTTAAATTAAAGAAATATCCTATCTCCCAATTTAAATTAAATATTATAATAAATATTGCCTTAAATTGTCAAGTGGCTTTATATTATCTTGCCACTTGACTAAATGAGAAGACAAGCTTTCTTGCTTTAATATATATATATATATATATATATATATATATATATATTTATAGATTTGTACTTTATCGCTCTCAATCACACAATAGACACATACAAATATATATAATAAGAAAATATATACACGTTGTCCACGTAAGATGTTAACTAGATGTGTGTTTGATTCGGAGTGAAAGAGATATTTCAATTATGAAAAGACAAACAAATTACATTATGAATTTTAAATCCCATAGTCAAACCTGCAGGGTTGGCTGAATGGGCCAAACATACATATAAAAGATAACCACAATATGGAGTTGCTTGTAATGACATGACTCAACTAAGGGTGGGAACAATGATTACAGAACGTGCCAAACATGAATTTGTATATTTTTTATTTAGTAATTAATGATTTTATTACCAAGTGGAATAAATATGTATAATTTTCTTCTAGAAAAGAAGTAAATGGTCAAAAAAATTTAAATATATAAGATAAGCGTGATTTTAATTATTTTCTTTTTTCAAAATTATTAGGAGCGTAGCTGCTTCTCTCTTCTTTCACCACCTTTGGTTATTCGTTTTCTTCGCAAAAACAATAGTGCTAGCTTCCCTTAACCATCTATTCTTTCTTTCTTTTTTCTCCACCAATATCTCCTTGCTTTCTCTCTCTCTTGCTTTTCTTCTCTCGTTCTATCTTCTTTCATTCATTGCCTCAAAAAAAAAAAAAAAAAAGAAGTCTAATGCTCACCGGCTTCTCTCTCCCCCTCTCCCGCCGGATATCTGACCACGTCACATATCGGAGATTGTCATAGTAGCTAGCCCACAATGGCACCTACTACGACCACCATGACACAACATCCTCGCCATGCAAATACAATTGGCGAAGATGTCGTGTCCGTTGACGTTGACCTTGTTTGGCCATTTGAAAATCTTGACGGTCTTCACCGTGATGATTTTCGGGACGCGGCTTACGAGATATTCTTCACCGCATGTCGGTCATCGCCAGGGTTTGGAGGTAGGACGGCAGTCTCGTATCATAATCCGTCGGAAGGAGGAGATGGAAGCGGGTCCGGGGCTGGATCTACCAGTCCTGGATCACCGGTGAAGCCATCCGGGGTTGGGATGGCCGTGACCAGCAAGGTGAAAACGGCATTAGGGTTGAAAATGTTGAAGCGGTCACGATCACGGAGAGCTAGTTCTTTTGGCGGCACGCCGTCATCGCCTGGCGGCGGTGCGAGCCCAAAGGTGGCATTCACGGTGCCACAGGCGAGGGCACGGAGGCCGATGACGTCGGCTGAGATTATGAGGCGGCAGATGAGAGTATCAGAGCAAAGTGATAGTAGGCTACGTAAAACTCTTATGAGAACTCTTGTAGGCCAAGTACGTATATAATTGTGTCTATATTGTGGGAAAATTTTATTTTGTGTCTCATACAAGTGGTACGAGATATCTTTTTATCTCACAGTTTTGTGGACCCACATTTTTTGTGGACCCAGAAGTGTAAGACTAGGGTCCACAAATTTGTGAGACAAAAAGGTGTCTCACACAACTGATGTAAGTTGTCTCACACAATTAATGTAAGTTGTGTGAGACACACAACCAAACTTCTCGATATTGTGCATGTTTTATATGTTTTGCATGCATAAATAAGCAAAAAGAAAATGCATAAGCTTCTTCTCCATCTCTATTTTGTTTACCTGCTATAATTAAACACTGAATAATTGATCTATGTTGTGAAATTTTGATAGATGGGGAGACGAGCAGAGACAATTATCTTGCCATTAGAGTTATTACGCCACCTTAAACCATCTGAATTCAACGATTCTCACGAGTACCATCAATGGCAAAAACGTCAACTCAGAATCCTAGAAGCAGGACTTCTTCTTCACCCTTCTATCCCAATAGAAAGATCAAACACAATCGCAAAACGTTTCAGAGAAATTATTAAAGCTGCTGATACAAAGGCAATTGACACCGGCAAAAATTCAGAGACAATGAGAGCACTATGTAATTCAGTAGTATCTTTAGCCTGGAGAACAATTGATAATTCCCCTACTGATATTTGTCATTGGGCTGATGGATTTCCTTTAAATATCCACATTTATACAGCTCTTTTAACCTCTGTTTTCGATCTAAAAGACGATACTATGGTCCTCGATGAAGTTGATGAGCTTCTTGAATTGATGAAAAAAACATGGACAATTTTAGGTATTAATAGATCAATTCATAACTTGTGTTTTACTTGGGTGTTATTCGAACAATATATCGTAACGGGCCAAGTTGAACCTGATCTTCTTGGTGCATCAATGATTATGTTAAGTACTGAAGTTGCTAATGATGCTAAGAAAGTGGACAGAGAGCCTATTTATGTTAAGATGTTGGCAAGTGTTTTGACATCAATGAGACAATGGTCAGAGAAAAGATTGGTTAATTACCATGAAAATTTTAACAGAGGTAGTGTTGGATTAATGGAAAATAATCTTCCTCTCTTGTTTTCGGCCACGAAAATATTAGAGGAAGATGTTCCTGGATATACATCTGCTAGTTTTGAGAAAGGGGAAGAACTTACTGATGATTCAGCTGGAGATAAAGTTGGTAACTTTATTCGTTCATCTATGAGGAATGCATTCGCTAAGGTCAGTATTTTGGATTTAACTTATATACACTAACGATGTAAAGAATTTTTACACTATAAGTATATTTTAACATGTTCAGCAAATTGTTTTCCTTATTTTTTATGTTACTAGTTCCACTTGTTATAGACACTTACTTGAAGTCAGAGGCGGAGCTAAGTTGGTGGTAAAGGGGTCACCAAAACCCGTTAAACTCGGCAAAAATTTGTGTATATTTATATCCGTATATGCACAAGGACCCCATATATAATTTTATTGTGCGCCCTCAAACACAAAAGTTCGATGGCTGCCTTGGTTTAGCACAGTGGCGGATCCACCTTTGGACATATGGGTGCTGAAGCACCCATTGGCTTTGGCCAAATTATGTAATATATTCATAAATAATACCTAAAAATTTCAATAATTAACCATGAGCACCCACTATGACCGCGTTTGGCCATCTATAATTTAAACTAAAATTGGTGAAGCACTCACAACCTATAAATCCTGGATCCGCCACTGGTTTAGCATGGAGCATAAGCTCCTTTCCCTTGCCTTTTGACCCAAGATCTAAACGACGAAACCCAACATCAGCGTTGCTGCTCCTTGTTCTTTTTTCTTTTTTCCTCTTTTTACTAGGTGCTCCCGCTATGCTCAAATCCTAGGTTGTCCTCTGCTTGAAGTTAACTTTTGTGTGATCAGTGTATAGAAGTTAAATCTTAATATTTTAGCCCTTATTTTCTGATGTGTCTATAATGTAACATTATTTTTCTTTTATTCATGCTCAAATAGATGTTGGAAGAAATGAGCATAGATGGTGCAAGTTTTGAGTTGCAAGAAGTGAGTCAAACACTGATTAAGTTAGCCAATGAAACTGAAGAATTAGCAGCTAAGGAGAAGGAAATATTTAGTCCTGTCCTTAAGAAATGGCATCCTGTTGCAGCAGGAATAGCAGCTGTGGCATTACATTCTTGCTATGGAACTTTGTTAAAGCAATACCTAACCGGCGCAACTTTGCTAACTAAAGAGACAGTGTTGGTATTGCAAAGGGCTGGAAAACTTGAAAAGTATTTAATCCAAATGGTTGTTGAGGATTCTGATGAATGTGAAGATGGAGGCAAAGCTATAGTTAGGGAAATGGATCCTTATGAAGTTGATTCAATTATAATGAATCTATTGAGAAAATGGATTCAAGAAAGGTTGAAGAAAGGGAAGGAGATTATTATGAGAGCAAAAGAAACTGAAGTAAGTCTATAAATTAGAAGACTTTCATTTTGAAATTTCATACTTCTTACTCTTCCCCCTCCTAGCCTTGGAGCAATGATAAAGTTGTCTGACCTATAGGTCACGGGTTCGAGCCATCAAATCAGCCACTGATGCTTGCATCAAGTGGGCTGCCTACATTACACCCCTTGGGATGCGGCTCTTCCCCGGACTTTACGTAAACACGGGATGCTTCGTGCACTGGGCTGCCCTTACTCCATCCTCTCAGGGTAGGGGCAAGGTCTGCATACGCACTGCCCTCCCCAAACTCCACTTGTTGAATCCCACTGATTTTTTTTTATTTTTTTGTTGTTGTTACTCTTACTAAAAGTTGAAAACTTTGATATGTAGACATGGAATCCAAAATCCAAAAGTGAGCCATATGCACAATCAGCAGTCGATTTAATGAGACATGCCAAAGAAGCTGTTGACAATTTCTTTGAAATTCCAATGGTCATTTCAGAGGATTTAGTAGGTGATCTTGCTGATGGATTTGAACATCTATTCAAAGAATATGTTACCTTTGTCACATCATGTGGTAAGAGAGAAGTATTTTGTTTGACCAAAAGTTATTTTTGATGCTCAAATAGTTTTTGTTATTTTTGATTTTGGTATCTTTTTGTAGGGTCAAAACAAAGTTATATTCCTACACTTCCTCCTCTAACAAGATGTAGTCAAGATTCAAGGTTTTCCAAACTGTGGAAGATGGCTATTTGCAGTGTAGGAGCAGAAGATCAAAACCAGCATTTAAATGATGAAGGCAATCATCCCCGCCTCTCAACAAGTCGCGGGACACAACGCCTATATATCAGGCTTAACACATTACATTACTTTCTTCTGCAACTCCATTCACTTGACAAAACACTATCACTCTCCTCAAAGATTGTCCCTTCTCCAAGAAGTCGTCACAGCAAGAATCGACAAATTGGAAGCTATTCCTATTTTGATCACACGCGTTCAGCCATCCAAGTAGCTGTACAACATGTATCAGAAGTTGCAGCTTATCGTCTCATTTTCTTCGATTCTCACTCTGTATTCTACGGTAGCCTCTACATCAGGGACGTTGAGAATACACGTATTCGACCAGCTTTAAGGGCACTTAAGCAAAACCTCACTCTTTTATGCGCGATTCTCACTGACAGGGCTCAACCATTGGCCTTAAAAGAAGTAATGAAGGCATCATTTGAGGCATATCTTATGGTTTTACTTGCAGGAGGAAGCAAAAGAATCTTTTCGAGGGGCGATCATCAGATAATAGAGGAAGATTTTGAGAGCTTAAAGAGGGTGTTTTGTACTTGTGGTGAAGGATTGATAGTTGAAGATGTTGTGGACACAGAAGCTGAGACAGTAGAAGGAGTAATAGCTTTAATGGGACAATCAACTGAACAATTAGTTGAAGATTTCAGCATTGTAGCTTGTGAAGCTAGTGGAATGGGAGTTGTGGGGTCAGGACAGAAACTACCTATGCCTCCAACAACAGGAAGATGGAACAGATCAGATCCTAATACAATCTTGAGGGTAATTTGTCATAGAAATGATAAAGTTGCTAATCAATTCTTGAAAAAAACATTCCAATTAGCAAAGAGAAGGCCATATTGAGAAAAGGGGCCAAAATGTATTTAAAAAGAAATTACATACACCGAAAAACTAGTTATGGACACGTGCGTTGGACTAGACATTATCATGCATCGAAAAACTAGTTCTGGACACATGCGTTGGACTAGACATTATCAGTTGTGGTGGAATGTGCTATATGTATAATTCTTTTGATATCTTTTGTATTACTTGAGAGATTATTATTTTGATCACATATTATTGTATAGTGAAGGAATATTATTATATTAGCATTATGAGTTGGAGAAGAAATTCCTAGTGAAGATAGATTGAATAGACCATCATATTCTACTCATACTATGAACCATATTCCTTTACAGATATCAGCTATGGAATTGAAAATGCTCATCAAGAAAAAACACACATTTCATATCTCGAAATAAGTATATGTAACTGATTATCATTACAATTGCGTGAAAATCATAACAAAGAGAAAGGAGGGAATGATAAAGAAAAATATTGTACCATATAGCTATGTTGCTCGAACTCTTCAAAAAAAATTAGAGCATTAGTGTCAGAACCTCCAAAAATGCATAATATTTGGAAGATCCGGCATAGGTGGATAATATTTTAGATGCATTTTTGGACATGGTATTGCGGTAATGCATATATCAATCACTCAAACAACTAAAAGGATCAATGAATTGAAATTCTCAATTTGAGAAGAATTTAACACAAGATATTACTTTTGGTACACCAATAATACTTTTTCGTCCCAATTTATGCGGTGTTGTTTGGATTCGAGAGCCAAACGAATTTTTTATTACCGCGATACTTTCACATGCTTTTAAATTATCAATTATTGTACTTGTATAATGTGGGGTTACAAACCTATGGGAATAGAAATCCCCTCTAGATGTGTGTGCTGCAAAACACCTGCAGACGAATCACTAGATCATCTCTTCTATGGTGGAGAACTATAGCATAGCACAGATTTGTCACATAGACAAATAATAATAAAGTGCTGGAGTTATAGAGCTAATAATTTAGTCAAGTCCTTCAAAGCTAAAGGGCTTCCTATTGTTACCGTTGCTAGATGTGGTGCTAGGGATGGTAGTGAGAGAACAAATGTGAGTAGATCTCTTATTCTCATTTCTTTTAACACACATAGTCCACCTAGTAGCAGCCAGTTCAAGATCACTCAACCTCCTCCTAACTAGGACAACATTATTGATCTTCTTGACAACAACAACAATAATAATATACCCGATATAATTGCACAAGTGGGGTTTGGAGAGAGTAATGTACGTAGAGGCAGACATACATTACGGGTTGAGGGGTCATCGGTACCCGAAAAACTTCGGTAAAAATTCCATGTATACTTGCAAATGTCTTAAGAAAATAGTTAGATATTAGTATAAGCCCTCGTATCAATCTTTATAAGCGGTGATAAATTCATATTGAATGTCATGGTATCCAACGACTATTGAATCATGGGTCCGCATCTGAGTGTATGTATGCAAACTTTACTCCTAATACCTTGTGAAAGTAAAAAGACTGTTTTTAATAGACCCTCGGCTCAATTTAAGAAGGCTATTACTGTGAAGTGGAGTAAACCTTCTACGAGATATGTTACGATCAATTCTGATAGCAGCTATTGTATAGGATAAAATTGATTCACATTAAATACCCGAATGATAGAGTGATCTGGGGAATCAGGGACGGATGGAAGACGAAGCAAGTGAAAACCAAGACCGAGGACAACAATTTCTGTTGGCATTGGGTAGACCCTGAAGGGAACATTGTTAACGAGGGCAAATAAATATTTGCCACCAGATGACATTCAATGAAAAATATTCCTTGGTATTGAATATATGCCCGTTACAGAGAATTTTGGCATTCATTACCTGCCGTTACATATTCATCAATAGCCCCATTATTTTCATTTAATAAGAAATTGATCCTAGGACCTTGTTCCCTAGGTTTAGCTATAAATAGTGACTTTAACAACCATTGTAAGACATGCAATTTTTGACAAAATTATGCTACACAATATTCCAAGCTTAATATTACTTTATTTTCTATCTAACAATATTCTTATCGTTACCTTCGAAAGCTTTACTCCTGAAACCAATATGTCTGTTATTTTATCTCGATTTTCAACGCTAAGTCTTGTATTTTATTTAATTTATCTATTATTTTGGGATCAAATCGATTTGCTTGTCTATAAACCACGCTATAAATTCAACTGTACCGTTTTACAGGTATACAGTTTGACGCTTACCGTGGGGCTTAGACAGTTGCGTAATTGAGTTGATCCTTGCGTCTATTACTAATCTGTTTGATTCTTTATTTCTTAGCAAAAATTGTAAAAGATGGCAAATAACGATGTTAACACCACACACAACGTTTAGGCACAAGAAAATCCACTTCAACACGAGGATTCGATCAGCGATACCCGCAATGAGGAGGACGTAGCCACGCTGGTTCATGGCGGGGGGTATCCCCTACACATACGGGAGGCAACTCTTGATGACGCTGAAGACGAGCACGTTGCAGAAACGGTGAGGATCTTGAGAGAACAACAAAAGGCTATCATGGGCCATCTCTCAAGGCAAAACCAGGCCATGATAGAATTATGGCAAGCATTTTTGGGTGCTTCCAACAACGCGAATAGAAGAGGTCCAGTTCCTCCCAGTACTCCCACAAATCAAACAGCGCAAAGGGTTAAAAACAAGACCCCGAGAGGTGAGGTCGGCTTCGATTGGGAGGGGGGATCGACAACGGATCTAGTAATGATAACAGTAATGATCCTTTCAAAACCAAAATCATGCGGTTTATGAGGGAAATAAACGCTTGAATTGACCAAATTTCGAGCGAACCACTAGTGCTGAAGGGCCCGGACTCAAAGAAATACACCCAGTTATCGTTCAAACCGAGTGCAACACCAAAGTTGATTCCAATGCGATTCAAAATTCCAATCATACCAAAATATGATGGGACTTTGGATCTTCAGGAGCATATAACTACCTATACAACGATGATAAAAGGAAACGACTTAGCTCCACACGAGATTGAGTCGGTCCTGTTGAAAAAGTTTGAAACTCTCACGAAAAGGGGCTTGACATGGTACTCACTTTTTCCCGAGCACTCAATAGATTTCTTTGAAATGCTTGTTGATATCCAATTTTAACCCTCCATTCTTCCAAATTATTTACTTGAGCTTCTAATATCGTTAATGATATAAGAATGTATAATATGATATTTTAAGTACAATTTAGATTATTGCTCAAGTTATTTTATTCAAAATTAATCAATCAATGATATTTTATTTACAAATGTCTCTATCTTATTGAAATAATCATATTCTTATTCATAAAATATTTGTTTAAGTTATTTATATATTATTTGCATGCGCATTTTATATTGGTTACATACTAAAATAGATTTCGCCATTTTAATTCATAATAATTCTATTTGAGCACTATCAAACTATCTAATATAAAAATTCATTGCTAGGCATGCCAAACAGTTTAATTGTCTATTTATCATCTTTATTATTATTATTATTATTATTATTATTATTATTATTATTATTATTATTATTATTATTATTATTATTATTATTATTATTTGGGTCTAAGTTAGAAGTCCAAGTAATTAAAAGGAAGAAAGGAAAATGCCCAAAATCTTAGAGAGAACTTCATTTATAGCCCATGGGGCAAAACAAATTTCATATGGTAGCCCACAAATTAACCCATACAAGTCATAGCCTAAAAATAGAACAAGTGCTAGCCGGAAACTTTACTAATTCCCTCGCCGGAAATCCAGCCAGCCAACTATGACTGCTCCTCTCGCTTTTCTCTTCTTCCTTACTAGTCACATCAATTTCCCAAGCAATGATTTAATCCTTGAAACAAATTTCACCAACAGATGCAAAAGTCACGAGCTCAAAGTAAGTGGATTTTGAATTTTACTCGTCAATTCGCTTCGCCCAATTTATCAAATCACTATTAATAGTATTTCAATTCAACAGAACAATTTCAAATCTCACTTTTCAGTAACAAACAAACATTAACAAAAGTTCCAAACCCAGACATGAGTTTCTTTTCTCGATTCAAAGTGCAGAATCAATGACACCAATAAGAGCAGTAGCAGAATTTCTTTTTTAATAGTCTGATTTTGAGTTTTATGGCGACGGGTAAAAGTCCAAATCTTCTTATTTCGACAGTGGTGTAGCATAAGGCTCAACCTTGTCTTCTTCTATGATTTTCTCTTATAGTTTATGTGAATATGTAGATAATATTTTGAAGATCTTTGGCTAAAAGTTTAAAATTCCGGCGATCTTGTTACCATTTTTGGTGACTGTGAGGCCTTGGACGCTGGTGGCTGGTTTCTCAATGAGAGGAAGAACAGAGGAGATGATTATGCATAAAGTTGAAATATCTACAAAACATATTGTTATTATACAAAAATTATACAAATAGACTATCACTATACAATTTATATACAAATAGACTCTCACTATACAATTTATATACAAATAGAGTGTCACTATACAAATTATATACAAAAATAGAATGTCATTATACAAAAAATATACTAAATAGACTATCATTATACAAAATATGTACAAAATATATTATCACTATATAAAAATATACTAAATAGACTGCCACTATACAATTTATATACAATTAACTCTCACTATACAAAAGATATACAAAATAGACTATCACTATACAAAATAGACTATTACTATATAAAAAATAAACAAAATTGACTGTCACTATACAAAATAGACTGTTACTATACAAAAAATATACAAAAAGACTGTTACTATACAAAAAATATACAAAATAGACTGTCACTATGCAAAAAATATACAAAAATAGTCTGTTATTATACAAAAAAATATACAAAATACTTATAAGATCCAGAAGTACATTTAAAAAGGCAAAAAAGGGTTGCTCTATCGCACCAGGTAGGGTCGAACCTGCGACCTTCAGCTTAGGAAACAGGTGCTCTAACCACTGAGCTATAGGCGCTTATGTTGTTATGCTTATTCCTTTCGGCTGCTATATGCAATACGTTTGGGCGGAAGGGCCATTTTTTGTAAGTAGGACAAAACATGGGCTATTAAAATTTTGAGGGGCTCGCGCCGTCGTCGTCGCTCGCTCGCTCGGCTCGGCTTCGGCTTCGGATTCGGATTTGGATTTGGTCAAACGATTGATTGATTAATTTTTTGGACCAAATTTATTTGTTAATAGTAGATATTAACGTAATATTATCCGAG